ACAATACGACATAGATACGGCGATACGACAAAAACTAAAAAAATAGGATACAGGTACGACTAGGATAGATCTATAATAAAATATATTTTATATTTTACTATTATTTAACAACTTAAAAATTTTAATTTTTAACAATTATTTAACAGTAGTAAGCAATATTAACAATTTTTACCTTGAAAAAGATGTAATATTGTCTCATTATCCATAAAGTGAACGTGACCAATTAAATGAATCAAAAACAACATTTAACTAGTTGGTTTGTTTAGAAGTATTTGTTTATAAGGTTATAGTGTAACTAATTCATTTTTTAATACTCTTTTAACATGTAATAGTAGATAATACTTAAAAAACGCTTGTGTCTTCAAACTCAAATGGAATATTAAGTATTGTATTAAAACTCAAAAAGAGAGGGTATAGATTAAAATTAAAAATTGTACATCTTTCTCCATGTGTAGAAGTATCTGTGAATTATTTACATATTTTATTAATTATCAGATACGTATGATGTGTATCCGATACATATACTCGAGTATCCAACGAGAATTATGTCGGATATGGGTACGTCAACCTTGATGACGTATTCGTGCTTCATAGGTTGCAACAGTGATGACAATGGCAATGGTAATGGTGACACATTGATGGCAACGAGCTCTAATTCGCTAGAGGCGATGACATAGAACAAGATAGAGGATATAGAGTAGAAGATAAAGGAGGTAGGGGAGCTGGCTTGAAGGTGAGGACGGAGAAGCCATTGGCCTTACCGGATGAGGAAGAGTGAGTTGGGTTTTATAGCCATGAGTTGGTATCTCCCAAGTCTTCTAGTGTGTCCAAAGAGAGAGAGAGAGAGGGGTTTGGGGGGGGGGGGGATTTGGTGGTTGATGGGTGAAGGTTTGGTGTCTGAACCATTTTGTCTATCGAGTCAAATATGAACCTTCTAAGATTTCCATTTATTGGAGAAAAAAGTTGTGGAGTATTTTGTTCAGATGAGTAAATGATGATTTTCTTATATGTCATGATGTTAGGGTGTCTTTGTTAATCCAAATTCAATACTTAAAATGAATGTACTTGACACTTATAAATTAAGCTCGTTTGATAATTAAAATTTGAATATCTTAATATATTAAGTATATTCTTTAAAAATACACTACAATATTAAGTTGGAGATCTCGTACTTAATTCTGAAAGTTGAAAGCGCTCAACGAAAGGATTTTTAATAAAATTTACATTATGATAATGCTACCCTGAAATATTTCACAATCCTATTCAAACTCTAATTAGTTTTCTCTCCAAAACCTCCAATCTATCTATTCTTCTCACCGTCTTCTTCCCATTGTCTTCTTCAATGACATATACCAAGTAAGTCTTCTTCCCTTGTCATCTTCAACACACACATACACACTTAATTGCACACGCACACACACATAGATTCACAACACACATACCCGTATCGTAGATGCTTTTTTTTTTTTTGGTCAAACACACAAATGAAAACACACACACAATCCACACATCACACAACTCAAACACACTTGGCAGATAGGGACCCACAAGCCCACACCATCCTGGTAATTGCTGACAGATGCTAAGTTAACTTAAATTAATTTTATTATCATGTTTATTAAATGTAGACTATAATATGATAATAGGGATTATGATTTATGTTATGAATTTAATTAATTTAATAAATCATAGTTTTTTATTACATAAAAGCATATTTTATAAATATTTTCAAAGAGTGGAAGGGTAAAACTTAAAATTAATTTATTTTCAGACATCAGTATTGTGTAGTTATTAAAAAGTTTGATTCACTTCAGTATTTAAATTTTAGTGGGTACCAAACAGTTCACGAATTTAGAATTCAACATTCACCTTTCAGATTTCAGCTTTCAGTTTTATCAAACACCATCTTATTCAAACTATAAAATAAAATTTCTTTATACTTTTTATATGAAAATCTCATCAAAATTTTCATTCTAAACAAATTTATAAAGTTGTTTTTTTCATTTGATTCCGATTCTAGTCGGAATGATTTTTTGACTCTGACTCTGACTCTAGTCGGAATATTTTTTGACTCCGACTTCGATTCCGACTCTGACCAGCGGAGTCGAACCAGAGTTTCGGAGTTGGGCCAATTTTTATTGGGTTAGTTTTTTTGAATTTTTTTTTTTTTAAATTTGGGCCACTGTTTGCTGATATTTGGGCCAACTCCAATAAAAGAGAATAGCATACCAACAACCACCTGTTTTTTTTGGCCAAGTCCAACAACCAGTTGGAATAATTTAAAAAACTATTACCATTTGAATAATATCAAACCCAACAACCTGTTGGAACAGCGTACCAACTCTCTGCTGATTTTTTTTAAAACTTATTGCAAATTACAATATCAATAACCTGTTGGAATAATCTAAAAACCAAAAACTATAAAAATCATAATCCAACTAAACCACCATAAAAAACACAGGTTGTCCAGTGTCCATAACAATAAAAAAACAGTCACAATTCAAACATCAAATGAGGATTTGCAAGAGAACAAGCCCATTGAATCAATGATCCAATTTCTCTTGTCAATTAATTTTTTATGTAAATTGACATTACTAAGCAAAGAAAGAAGGAAGACCAATTCCAACATTTCCCTATCATTAAGACTCCTACAAAAACCAAAGCTCACATCACTAGATTTGAAAAAGACCTAACCATTGATTCAGTACGGACATGATGATAACTTGAAAGGCTATAAAGTGGAGGAAATAAACAAGACAAGGATGACTCCCCAATTCACAAATCCTCCAAAAATCACACTCTCTTCCCATTACCCACAACAAATCTAACCCGTTGAGAAAAGAAGTTAATCCTTGGGAAATGAATTTCCACGGGTTCTAGAAACTACCTCTTTTAACCCCGTTAGCATCTCATTCATTAGCCTGCAAATCATACTTTCTTCTAATGACCAAATGCCACAATGAGTTTTGTTCCAACGGAAAAATCCAAAGTCATTTTCCAACAATAGCTTTGTTTCTAGTTTTTAAATTACCCATCGCAAGGCCACCCTTAACTCTTGGTCTTGACACAGTATCCTATCTAATCAAGTGATCTTTTCTATCTTCACCATTACCTTCCCACAAGAAATCTCTCATCATCCCCTTAATTCCCCCTCTAGATGTAAAGGCTTTTTTCCAACTATCCAACCTTTTACCAATTTTCTCTATAACCGGATCCCAAAATCTCAAATAAAAAGAGTTACCACCTAAAGGAATCCTTAAATATTTGAGAGGTCACCCACTTAGAGAACATCCCAAAACCCCATCCAAGCTAACAATCTTATCTTGGCGAGCATTAATTCCCACAATCAAGCTTTTATTCATGTTCATCTTAAGTTCTGACACAACCCTAAAAACATCACAATTTTTTAAGTTTTAAAAACTTTTCTTCATCCCTTGAGGAAAAAAAGATTGTCTCATCTACAAATTGTAAGATGCTTGATGTGTAATATTACAATGTGCTCTAGTTAAGTACTTTAGATGTGCTATTTTCCTGCAAGCATTTAATTGAATTCAGAAATGAGAATTTTCAGGGTATAGGGAATGGTTTACCATTAGGAGCTGTTGTGACAACACCAGAAATAGCAAGTGTAATGGCTCAGAAGATACAGTTTAACACCTTTGGCGGGAACCCAGTATGCTCTGCTGGTGGCCTTGAAGTACTCAGAGTTCTTGATAACGAGAAACGTCAAAAGCATTGTGCTGAGGTTGGATCCCACTTGATTGGGCGTTTGAGGGAGCTTCAGCAAAGACATGAAAGTAATTCTTTTGAAATTAGCAAAACCTAAAAAATAGTTTCAAAGCTTTGTTGGAGTAGAATGGAGTTGCGTAATGATGTATGTGGTGTTAATATTTCCTTTATGAGGAATCAATTCAAGCTTTTTCAATTTTGTTTTTCTACATCATGCTGAATATAATCAGGCCAGAAAATAAATGAAAAAACAAGAAAAAAATCAGGTATAGTCAATTTGAAGGTAATTAGATTGGGATTTTTGCTGTCCTAGTCAATGTAATTTTTTTTTTTATTGTATCAAGGGAAAACTGCCATGATCATCCCTCATTAACATGGCCATTATTAGGATCAAGGATTTACTCATGTAGAATTTAGTTTGACCTTTACTTAGGGCTTGAAACAACTCCGAGTCCCTGGCATACTTATTATTCTACAAATCACCTGTGTCTAGAATCCATAATTGAATGGAATTCACCCGCATAATCATTTACTTTTCAAGGTAACATACTACAGTGCTCCTGACTATCCCATGTCTGAACTTTTCTAGAGAAACTTCCCTTCATTATATGGATGTAGCTAACTCGATAGGTTATCTCTAACTATTATGCTATGGGATGCATGGGCTGGGTGAGATGTGTAAATTGTTAGTTTTTAATCATGATGTGCATATAGCAATGTCATGGACCGGATAGGTCTCGAGGGTTCCAAGCAATGTCATAGATTAGGGTTCACGATTCATTTTTGTTCTGCTAACCGATTAGCTTCTGGCTTGCTTCGGTACACAAAAAGAATCTTGGAAGATTAGACATCTCACTCTGACTCTCCTTGGAATCACGAGAGTCATCTAGGTAGGTTATTTTACCACATTTAGTACGATATGCATTTTACCTCCATTTTGAATTTGAGTTCTATAAAAAAGAAAAGACAATTCTTCTGATATTTATGATGTCTTGTTACTCAGTAATTGGAGACGTGAGAGGCAGGGGCTTAATGGTGGGAATAGAATTTGTGACTGACAGGAAAGAGAAGACACCTGCCAAGGCAGAAACAGCAGTTTTGCTTGAAAAACTTAGAGGTTTGTTAACATCAACCAAGAAAAAAATTGAAAATTTTGGAACGTACTTTATATTGTTGCCCCCATATTTCCTGTCATGATACTGACTAGTTTTAATTTTTCCTGGATGAAGAACTAGGTGTTCTAGTTGGGAAGGGTGGATTACATGCAAATGTCTTCAGAATAAAGCCTCCTATGTGTTTCACCAAAGATGATGCAGGTACGCATCAAGCCTCGGTATCTGAAAGAACATCACTGAAAAACTTAAACAATTGGATTTTTTATTTTTTATTTTCCTAAATAGAACTCGCTTTCAGTCATGCTGCATTGTCTGTTTTCAGCATTTAGATGTTCTTATATGTGCAGATTTCCTGGTTGATGCTTTGGACTATGCTGTATCCAAGTTGTGAGAGTCTATCATTGGCTATTTTAGAAGGAAATCTGTGGACACGAGCTCGCTGCAATATTTGAGAAACACTAATGTGTTCTGTGCTCTTCTAAATGGATGGAAAATTTTCCAATTATGAATAAAAATAGCTATGTTGTGAAATTGAAAATACTCATCAGATGATCAATACAAGCTGATAAAAGTATATATGGAATGCGTTTAACGGCAAGCTAAGCCATTGAGTGTGTTCCATCTGGATACCTTTCACAAAGATCAAGAAATTTGCAGCACTCCAAAAAGAGAAAGGAAGCAACATGCTAACAAAGATAAATCTACAATGTAATGTAGAAGTCCTACACTAGTTTGATAAGATTTGAAAAGTTGGGATGCTGTGTAAACTTGATGGTTGGAATAGAGATTTGTGTGGGTGATTGGCAAACAGAATAAGTTGGAAGATGAATAAAGAAGAAAGGGTATGAAAGAAACCAAAGAGAATGCAAAATCCTCCCACCAGGTCATCAGTATCAGTAGTCACGCAAAAAATATCAAGGCCCCTTTGGCAAAGGGTCTTCCAAGCCCTGAGATCGTTCAGTGCTGCGCGCTTCATTAATTAACAGTTTTATACTGACTAGAGCAGCGAGTAGCCACAAAGGCTCACTCTCTCCTCCAAGGTTTTTATTAGCATCTTATTCAAGAAGATTTGTCAGGTTTGTTAATTCAACTACTATTAGCGGGCAATGATGGAATAATATTTCCCAAACCCATGCATTTTTTCATAAAATTGCATGACTGATTAAAGCAAAGTTCTAGATACTACACTATCAGAACCACCAGTATGCATATTCCATCATATTCAATGGAAACCTTATTAATTTGGATTGGCTAGAGTTTATTTCTTTCTTTACATTTGCTTTTTTTCTTGATCAATTGTTAATTTCCGAAACTGTAGGGTGTTATTAATATGCTCTAAGACCAATCATATAAATGATATTTTGGGGCTATACTAGCAACATTTATTACTTTACTTAAATAAAATGGCAAGTTTATTTATCATATTTCTGTTTTATTTCATTTTAATATACATGATATAGTTCATAGTATAAGCTAAGAAGATAAGTTCCCAAGGACTTGAGAAAATGAGACATATACTTCTTAGTACTTAACTCTTTAATGTTCCTAGTCATAAGATTACTATGTGGGTATTATATAATCCAGATAGACTAACATACACTATGGTAGTGTTTGCTAATAGAAACATATATATATTTGGTGAATGTTTTCGTATTTTTTACTGCTATGTTTTAAAAACAATGACAAAATTTGGAAACATCCAAAATGATGTTTTTGAAAACATCCAAAAAAACAACAAAACGGAAGGCTCCTCACCCAATTAATGAGGTCTCGACTTTAAACCCTCTTAACAGCAAAAGTTTCATTTTTTTCCCTTACAATATAAAAGGGCATGAACAGCTGCAAAATCATAGTGATCTGCTCGTTGGTCGTCGCTTCCGTTGTGTCTGGTGAAGCTGTAATCTCTCCAGCGAAGCTATAAGCTCTCTCTCTCTGTGCTTGTATCTCCACTTTGATTTTTTTTTTTCAGATCTATGATTTTTGTTTCAGATTTAGGGTTTATTTTTGTAGTTCCCTATTTATTTTTTTGTAGATCTATACTCTATTATTTTTGCATATCTATACTCTATTATTTCAAATCTAGGTTATATTATTGTTTACTTTAACATCTATCTCTTTCTGTGAATGTATTTGTGCGCGTCTGGTGGGTGGTGTGCAACTCTATGTGTGTGCATCAGGGGTGCATTGTGTCTTTGTATTTATTTTTACAGATCTATACTGTATTATTTCAGATCTAAGGTTTATTTTTGTAGATATAACTTTATATTTGAGGGTCTTTCTAGATAATTTACTCGAAAAGAAGCAATGTTATATGTGTATATAGTCTGTAACCTTTCTACAATATGCAATTCATATCTACGTGTATATGTTGCTTTATGACTGTTAAGTATGAATTTCAACTTGATTTAACAAGTTATATGCTTATGATTTTTTAATTCAAGTATGAATTGATTTAACATGTTATATGCTTATGTTTATATATAAGTAATTGTGATTTGAGATGGTGGTTTAAGTGTGAGAGTGTTTGATGAATGTTTGGAGTTGTTTGTTATGTAGATGAAAAATAAGGATGACGATGTTGTTGAGGTTGGGGCTAAGAAAGGTGATGAGCCATGGATGTCTAAAAATGAGGCAATTTTTATTGAATTGATGGATTTAGAAGTACCACGTTGTCCTAAAGACACATCTACGTTTGAAAGGGATGCTTGGAACAGAATTTTAGCGCAACTAAGCATCAAGATGGGATATAATTACAACTTTGAGCAGCTGCGAAACAAATACAATATTTTGAGAACAACGTACATTGCATTTAAAAAGTTATTGAATGAAACAATTGAAGTAGGATGGGACCCAGAGAGACAGACAATTACTTTACGTGATGACCTCTGAAAAAATTTGTGCAAGGTAGCCAATTATTTTTAAACCTCTTAAGCATTATTATGTCTATATTTGTCAAGGCTTTAGTATTCATTAGTTTTCATGCCTGTTAGGTGAATAAGCATGCTAGAAAATTCAAGAAAAATGGTTGTCCGCATTATGACAAGTTTGGTAGAATTTTTAGTAAGACAAGTGCAACTGGTGAGCATGCTCAGCAACCCTACCTCCATTTGACAGCGAGCAAGAGAAAGACCCAATTTTTGATCCTACAAATGAGGTTGATAAAGGTGATGACAATGAAAATGCTAAAGGACCATACAACCGTTCTCGTAGTAGGTTTACTACTCCAACATGCAGTTGCCATAGGAAGAAAAATAGTGCTATGGTTGGTCTTATAATTGCCTTTAATGTGTTGGTTGAAAACTAGAAGAAAAAAAATGAGTATTTAGAGTACAAGATGTCACAGTCAACAGGGGCAACATCTTCGTATGGGGATAGTAAGGTTAATACCAATAAGGATGATTTGGTAGATGAATGTATGAGTGCTTTGAATGTTGTGGAGGACATAGATGAATGTATGAGTGCTTTGAATGCTGTGGAGGACATTGATGGTGACATTTAGTCAAAAGCCATAACACAATTTAGCGAGGGCATGACTTGGAGGAAGCTATTCCTGGCTATGCCGGACCATAGGAAGCGGGATTGGGTTATGCACTTGTGATGTTTATGACTATTTTTTACGTATTTAGATATGTATTTGTATTTAACTGTAGAACGTTGGGATGTTTGTTGCTTTATGACTGTCATAGATGTCCGTCTCTATTTTTGTCTTATGTTTAAAAGTTGGGATGTTTGTGTAAGTTTAACGGCATGGATGTTTTTGTAAGTTTAACAGCATGGATATTTTTGTAAGTTTAACAGTATGGATGTTTTTATAAGTTTAATGACATGGATGTTTTTGCATTCTTATGCTTACTATGTGCTATAGGTGCTTGGACACTAATGGATTTAGATGAGGAATTGATATTTGATAATGATGATGAGATGGGTATTGTCATAACTGAAATAGCAGTTGATCGTTTTTCTAGTCAAAACCAAATCCATGTAGAATGTCTAAACTTTGGGGGCATGAATATGTATTGAAATTAATTAATGGTCATGAAAATAGGTGTTTCGACCAATTTAGAATGGATCCACCAGTCTTTTTCTTGTTTTGCGAAGAGCTAAAAAATAGAGGATTACAACATTCTAGCTACCTCACTATTCAAGAACAAGTTGCTATATTTATGCTCACTATATGCCACAATGAACAAAATCGCATAGTAGCTGAAAGGCTTCAGTATTCGGGTGAAACAATCTCCAAATATTTTAAGCATGTGTTGAAGGCAGTTTGTAGCCTTGGAATGGATATCATACAAGCCCCAAATTTTGAAGTCATTCAACCATAGATCAAATTTAACCCCCAATATTATCCATTTTTTAAGGTGATTGAAAGTATTATTGTATCTTCATATGAATTACAAAATATATGTTTTGGTGCAATTGATGGTATTTGGGATATATGTTTGTCATGCTAGAATTGTGTTGATACAATTGATGGTACCCATGTTGATGCACGTGTTCTAGTAGACCAACAAGTACCATATCGTGGAAAGTAAAATGTACCAACTCAAAACATTATGTGTGTGTGTTCATTTGACATGCGCTTTTCGTTTGTGTCGAGTGGATGGGAAGGTGCAGCACATGACTCAAGAGTTTTTATAGAGTGTGTTACTAATCCAACAAACAAGTTTTTAATGCCACCAGGAGGTAAATTTATCCACGTATTTCAGATAAGTAATTTGTACAAATCCAATACTTTGTGTTACTATGATATATATTTTTTTCAGATAAATATTATGTTGTAGATTCGGGTTATACAAATATGCCATGTCTTTTGTCCCTTTACCGTGGTGAGAGATATCATTTACGTGACTATAAAGATAGGGGTCGACAACCAACTAACAAAGATGAGTTGTTCAATTACTGTCACTCATCACTTCAAAATATAATTGAACATTGCTTTGGAGTTTTTAAGGCTCGTTTTCCCATTCTCAAATGAATGCCACCTTATCCCATAACCACACAAAAATATCTGCCCACAACTTGTTGTACAATCCATAACTTCATTAGAAGTCACTCTCCACAAGATCAGTTGTTTAATGACTTTGAAAGAAGTGATAATGTTGATGATGGTAAAGGTGGTGCAAAATCTAGTTCACAAGCACCAATTGAAATAGATATAACACAGAGTCAGTTGCGGGAAATGGCTCATGTTAAAGATGGCAGTGGAGCTCAATTGTGGGCATTAACTCATCAGTAATATATGTCTTACTTAGAATAGTATTATATTTTTTCTTAACTTTCAATATTATATTGAACAAATTATTATATCTAATTTGTCATAATTAATGTTATGAAAACAGGAATCATATTATGGCACAAATTGGGCCTCCATGTTCATGTGGATATGGTAATATGAGTGTTTTAGTCGCGCGGACAAAAAGAAACAATGGTCTCCTTTTTTATAGTTGTCCAAGATGGCATGATCATTATGATTATTTCATTTGGGTTGATGAGTACAATACACGCAGAGATGAATTAGAAATTGTGATCCCACATGCCAATTTAGGAAGGAGATAGTAAAAATGGATCACACTTTTTATGCTTGTTGTGGA